GGCGCCCATACCGGACGGGGTATGGGGACGGCCCTGGAAACTGATGATGAATGTTAAAGGTTAACGGGTAGCGGGACCCCTATGGACCCCCATGGATACTAGTAGACTGGTAAATGAGAAAAGATATGTGGTATAATGATTGAATTACAAAAGGCGTGATAAGTGCTATGTTTTACAACTTATATTATTCCATGATTGTGATAATGTTATTGTTTTTCTTATATTGTTTCATGAATTCCACCGAGGTAAGTGGATGGTAAAGATTTTATCATAAATAAAAGGATTTGTTGTAAATCATGCTCCATTGGTCTTTTGTGTTTTTCTACCCACCTTTACCTCCGTGACGGTGAGATATCGTGATGTTCTTACTGGGCTAGTGTAGCTCACTCCTTATTTAACCATTTCAGATAAGAAAGACATGGTTCCCGAGCCCGTTCCGCAGGAGGACGACGAAGGGGATGCTTAGAGATTCTGTAGTCATACTCATAGTTTTATTTTCGAGTTTCTCTTTTAGTTAGTTTAATCTTTTATATTTTAAGTACGTTTTTGGTTTTCGTGTAAGGGATGTTAACTGAAATTTTGATCTCGCTTCCGCATTTTATGTGTTTAAATACTCATTTCATTTTCACATTTCCGGGGTCGTTACAAAAATTCTAGTTATATTTATAACCTTTCTAATTAAATTTAAACCGTCGAAATTTGAAGAAAAGATCATGACCGTTGATTATACATCCATATATGTATATTTTTGTGTGTGGATCATTACAACATTGAAGAAACTTCTAAAGAAGCTTATTGACTCTAAATTAGAAATTTTAACACATTTTATCTTTTGTTATGTTATATAACCCAATATGAAATTACAAATTCTATTAATAAAATTAAGAATGAAAAAAAAAACCATAACCTAGTAAATCTGAATCGATCCACCATGACATGTCTATTTTTTATTAGTTAAATAAAATAAAATTAAATAACATTAATTTCTGATTAACTATGGATAAAGTTGAGTTTCAGATTTAGAAATGAGCACCAAGTACGTTCAAATATGACCTTAGTATATACAATAATTTTTAATTTTATATTTAATTTGGTCTAGATATATAATTTTTTAGATTCTAAATAAAAACATATAATATATGCTTAACTTTAATTAACAAAATATTTACAATATATATTTATTTTTATACAATTGGTATCTAACCCATATTCAGATTATTGGACTTGGGTGTTTAAGGAGAATGGGCCGGGCCGTATCCTTGTTTGGGCCAAAATTTATTGGATTAGATTTTTAAAGACTTGGTGTCACACAACAAATTTAATACCTCTGAAATTCATTTTAAATAATAATCAAGAAATTATAGAGATAAAATTCAAAGTAATACAAATTATATTTATAGAACTTATCTGAATTGATTAAAGACTATTTGCCATATTAAATTTCGCAGTTTTGAAATTCAATATTTTGTTGACTTACATTAATAAATAAGTTACTAGTCCAATCAATTGAATCACTTACTTGATAAATTATTAATTACATTAAAATTATTTTAAAGAAAATTACGGACTTAAATCAAATATTTTTTTTTTCTAATATATCAAACAATAATCTGTATACAATATTTTTTTTTAAAAAAGAAGTAAATAAATCATTAATCAAACCCAATATTTATAAATATAACATCATATATATTTTAATAGTAAAATAGCAATTATCTTCATTTTTAACAACCATTTCTTGCCAAACCTTATGGTAAGTAATTTCATTATTCTTTATGAAATGAGTGAGTGGAGATGTACATTCTGTATATGTTTTTTTTTTTTTTTTATTTATAAAATATTAATTTTGTTATTATTTATACATAAGTTACGCGTAATTATTATAATATACGTATTTCTATTAAAAAATAATAACGGTAAATTAATAAATTGGTTTTTGAATTTTAACACTTGCTACAACTTGATTTAATATTTTTCGTTATAATTTCATCTATGTTATTTTATATATTTAATTTTTAATAAAAAAATAAAAATAATTATATTATATTTAAATACTTTAAAAAATAATTTAAAAGAATAATTTTAACTAATTAATTAAATTAATAGTAATAAAATTAATTAATTAATCAAAATTATTCTTTTGAATTAGTTTTTGAAAAATAAATAATTATTTTAATTTTTTCTATTAAAAAATAAAAAATTATTAAAACTTAAATTATTTTAAATTATAAATTTAAAAAACAATTTAATAATTTGTTAATATAATAATTACCTTATTTTTTGGAACAAGAACTGGGCGGGTCGTTGGAAATGAATATTTGTAGGCTGCATATGGTGGATTGGTGTGGCAGATTTTGCAGCCTGCATGGTTCAATTTCAGTGTGAAGGTTTTGACGGCCCAATTCTCAAGAATTATCATCTCCCCTTATATTTTGGGGATCTCAACCTGACATTCATCAATCTTCTTACACGGTTCTCCATTTACAATGTCATCATTACAATCCAGCGTTCATAATTTTTTTTTTTTTTTTTTTTATAAATAAAAATGCCTCTTGGTGTAATTAATTTCAACGTACGTACATAATTTTTGATATCATTTTCTTTTGAAGCTTTTTTGTATTAAGCTTTTGGTTTGGTACGATTTCTTACAGTACCATGCTGCCAAATTACAAGAAGTTGGGTTTGATTTAGCTAAGTTTTTTGAGTTGTAATTTAGATATCACAATTTTAAAAATAGTAAACTATACCATTTACTTAATTAAATATACGATGAAAGTGTTGCATCACAGTCTTAGTTTTAATAAAAAAAATGAGAAGAGAGTATTCATCTTAATTTGATCTCATTTCCTTAGTGAATAATCTCTCAAACACGTTCAAACCCTATATTCATATTCAGAACAAACAAACAATTTTTACGCAAATGAAGTTTGTAAATCTACACTTTGAGAATTCATTTATTGTTTCAAAAAAATTGTGTAAAAAAGTTAAAGTTTCAACATTTTATAAAAATTAAGTTTTATAAATCATAAATTTTACCCCCCACTTACGAAAAAGAAAAAGAGATTTCGAATAAAACAATCTCTGATTCCCAAAATTCACAACAAATAAAATATCTGTGAATTGCTGTAGCCAGAATTAAATGTAGAGATTTATTATGTAAAATGACATATGGGTAATAATGTGGCTCTATAAATTATTGTGACAGTGAATGGTGTTTAATGAGGCGAACTAGACTTGACAGATCCAATTTATATACATATATATGTATAGAGAGAGAGAGAGAGAGAGAGAGAGAGAGAGACATGTTAACGTGTCAAGTTTAAGTGAGTTTCTTGCTCTAAATCTAAAGTTAAAAGTATAATTATGCTCGTAATAAATAAATTTCTTACATTAGATAATATTATTTTTGCAAAATTTATATATGTTATTAAATATATAATAATTTGTTAGATATATTGAATGATGTCATTCAGAACACGAAAACAACTTAAAATTAATGAGAGTGCAGAAGATAGGAGCCCACTTGGATTTTATTACTCTCTTGCATCATTGTTTGGAGAATCCATAGATACATGCTTTTAACGTGTATTGTTGTGTACCATGTACTTGATAGTTTATTTTCCTTTATAAAAAAATTAAATGGATTTAATATATAAATTTTTTAAGGATATTTAGCTTAAAATATTTCGATTAAATAAAGTTACTAATTACTTACATTAGTTCATTTATATATTTGGTAAAAAGTATAATTTATTATGAAGATTTTATTTTCAATATTTTTTTTTTTACTAAATTAAACTTTAACTACATGTTTTATTTTGTTATCTTGTAGTTGAAGAATGAAGAGTTTATTGAGGGAATTGAGAATGATGATTATAAATTTATCATATTTATTAATAAATTCTTTCTTGACATATTTTTTTAAAAAAAGAAAAATTCTTTAATTGGGATTCCATAGTATTGAGTAATTTTCTTATACCCATTAAGTAGATTAACACGAGGAACTATTTAAAAAAAAAAAAATATTTAGGTTAGATGTACGAACAAATTTTTTGATTTGAAGGTTGACTGGATTAATTTGGCTAAGTTCCCATGCTCTCCATTTGCATTCACCTAGTTACCTTGCTTTTTCTTAACTAATATAAAGGATAAACAATTCATTTAACTAGGTTACAGTTGACCTATTCTTGATCTTAAAATGGGTTATGTGAGCAAGACCATGACATGATTTTGGTAGCTAACTGGATTTTCTTTTGTAAGTTCCTTTTCTTTCATTTTGGAAAGGTTTTGTTTCTATCTCAAAAAGGAGTATTCTACAACTTACTGTTGATTTAGGCTTATATTCCATAAATTTGATAGTAAATTAATTTTAAGTGTCTATTTGACATGACTCATTGTGGAATGGTTACAAGTTGAAAAGTGTTGGTTGATAAAGGGATTCCCAATTAACCTGAAAATAAGATGTGGACTCTTTTGTCGTTGCATACAAATGTGGAGTTGCTGTCTAATATGTTTTTCCATGAAAAACCATAGTGGAACATTGAACTGATAAATAAGGTATTCCACACATACAAATCTTCTGAAATTACCAGCCTACCTTTGAGTTTCCTTTTACCTCTAGGTAAGCCGATGTAGTTTTATGAGCATAACGTTAAACACACCTTAAAATCTAGATATTCAAGAGCACGACAAAATTGATTATCTACGTTGGCTGGGTCTTTAGCTATGGATGCAATGGAAAGTTGGACAAGGCTATAAAATAATACTGTATTGCTTCACGTTAATTCAAGAAGGGATGGTGATAGACCCTAAATATCTTAATGTATCACCAATTAATTAAGCCAAATGTCACATTTAGCTTCTGTTTGCAAAAATATTGAATTATATGATTTGTAGAAGAAACCCTATAAGTTAATTACTCAAATATGTATATGTACATATATATATATGAACAAGTAATCATGCAATATAATATACATGTGCATATATATTTTAAGTCCCCCTTTCATAATAATGGACCCAAATGAAGTATTATTGCGATGGTAATTAATGTTCTTCGACACTTGATAATCAAAAAAGAAAATAAAATTGTTTATAATCTTAAAATATAATATTAAGTAATTAATTAACCTCCTTTTCTTTCTTAGAAGGAACACGGCCATCAGTCCCAGCAAGCATCGCATACTTGTCCTTCCTAGTCAAATTGGTGCACTCAAACCCGAGCGTCCCAGCAAGAACCCTCTGTATATAATTAGCCACTTCAATGGCAGACTTGCCGCCTTTGCAGGTGAGCTCGGCGGGCAGCTGGTTCAAGAACGTGATCTCGTAAGTGGGCATCGGGTTCATAAACACGAAGTAAGGATCCAAAAGCTTGTGCCCACGAACAGTAGTGCCATGAAACACAGTCTGCTTGGTGTTAATGGCCACAGGGACGATTCTGTCAGTGAGCTCAGCGAAGAGAGCACTGAATCTCAAAAGAAAAGGTTCTCTACACGTTGTTCCTTCAGGACAAATCACCAAGTCGCCTTCTTCGAGCAAGCGCTTGATGTTGGCTGCATCTTTTTCCCGTTCTCTGGACAAAGCAACGGCTTTGATTGGTGAGATTATTTCGGTGAACTTGCTGATGCTGTAAGTGACGCAGCTGATTTTTCTGCCGAGAGCGACCGCGGTGACAACTGGGTCAAGAACAGTGCGATGGTTGCAGATGAAGAGGACTCCAGGTTGGCCGGGCTTGGGTGGTGGCGGAGGGGTGCCCTTAACGACGAGTCTGATTCCGAGGAGTTTGTAGTTGTATCGAGCTATTCGCTCAGGCAAAGGGATGTTTAGATATACCCTTAAAATGGAGAGTATAATCCCAATTGGCAGCCACAAGAAGGTCAAGAGAGCTACCAGAGGAGTGGGTCTCTGCACCAACCTACCCTCGTGAAATATTACAGGACTAAGCAGCTTCTTTCTTGGCACTGCTTCACATTTGTTTCTTGGCACCATGTATCCTTCCTGTAATTAATTAATTAATTAATTAATTAAATGGAACTATTTAATTTAAACAAAAATATTGTTTATATCGTCATAAATATCATTTATGATGCACAGCTACACATGGGGTCCAAGTTCATTCCAATCATAGATTGGGAAACTAAAATGGAAAATTTGAAGTTATTTATGACTTTTGCGGTTGGAGATCATTTGTTTGTTTTTTCTAGAAAATAAATAAATAAATAAACTACAGCAAGATACAAGGCAAAAATACTGCTTCCCATTTTCTATATCTGCATACAATTCATGAAATTAGTTGAACTGATTTAAATTCAATCAATTACTCTTACCAAATCTAATCTACAACCATGCAAGTCACGTAATCTAATTTATCAGTAATTAATTAGAATTTTGCATATTGGCCAACTGGGTGTTTGTTAGGTGTATATAATATGTATGTAACCGGGTGTATACATGTGATTGAGTAAGCGTACACGAAATTAACCAGAATTAAGTGGGTGATTATCGTTAAACAAACACAGTAAATGGTCATGAGGAACACATAACCAAACAAAAAATAATAATCTTCCTCATAAAATAAATAAATAAATAAATAAAGTAGTGATCATATTTGGTTGATGAGTCTTGGTCATGTTATATATTTACCGTATGAGTTGGATATATGTATGGAAAGTTGGTTCGAACATGAAGATGTTATGGTGGCAATTAATGTCTCTCACATGCTCTTGGGAAATAAATGTACTCTGCACCCCAAGGTTGGTGCTTTTATATTAATGTCAATATTATATCTCAAAAAGTTACCATCATAGATCAAAACCCACAAACCATAATATACATATATATATATATATATATATATATATATATTAGTCAAATAATAGGGGCACCGCTCAATATAGAAAGCCGTTATAAGCTACTACTCAAATCATAACTTTTATATATATATATATATATTTAATTTAAGGCGTAATAGTCATATAATTAATATGCATGAGCAAATATCACGTTCCATGGATGATTTAGCCATAGAAAATTGACATGAAATTCGTATATCACTGAAAATGCATGATGATTACTACCTATTATATTTTTATCAATATTATAATATAAATTACATGGGTCAATTTATATTTTTAATATGTTATTAATAAAAAGAAAAAATAATTTTTTAAAGAAAAAATTAGTGAACCAATTTACGTGGATAGAAAATGAGGTTCACCCAGCCACAAAAAAAAAAAAAAAAAAAAAAAAACTTTTATTGCCTTGAACGCCCTCACCAAACATATAATAAATGGAAAACTATATTGCCAGCATTAATTGTGTACTCCTAAAAATTAAGATAGGAAAATATTAGAGATGAAATTTTAATATATGTATATAATTATAATTATGTACTAATCAAGTATAAATGCAGGAGAGGGAATTACATACCTTGCAAAGTGACATGAATTCATGATCAGTTTCCCTGTCTCCCAAGCCCAAATCAGGCATGTTACTACCAAATTCTCGAAGGAGAGCGTCTCTTTTGTGTTCCCCAACAAGAACTCCAGGTTTCTTGGCAAACCCAGTTGCTCTCCCAGATTTCGTGACCTCCAGCTCCGTCCCTATAACCTTGTCGGCACCTAAAAACGTCGTCACAAAATGCTCCACCATCACTCTCGGATTAGCCGTCACAATATACCTTTTGTCGAACGAGTTGAAAACTCTCCACGTGTCCGGGTGAACATCCTCAGAATAGAATTTAGGTAACACAGACCTAGAAACCAGCTCCACGTCTCTCATCTTCAACCCGGCAAAGGTGATGAAAATGAAAGTGTTGATAGCCATAGACTCGGAGAGGAACAGGTAGGTGAAGTAGACAAATGGGACTGAAGCTAATAGGATTAATGCCCTAAGAATGCTGCCAGCTTCTAGGGCAACAAGTAAGAAGTAAGGAAAAGCACTGCGTGAGATGAGTAAGGTGCCGTCAAGGTCTGCAGCCACCGTTTGATTGGACCGACCTTCGGTGCTGCATTTGGTTATTGGTTCGAACCGACGGTGAGCCCCCATGGGTAATTCAGCCGAGGAAATATATATGCTGTGTGAGGTTATAATTAAAATGCGTATGATATGATACGCCTATCTATATATATAATATATATATAAAGAGAGAGATATAGAGACGGAGGGAAGGATTTAAAGGGAGAAGACAAAGATGGGCATGATGTTGTTGTTGTTTGGTAATAGCTAGCATGGAAAAAATATATAGAAGGCTAACAGTATGTGGTTGAGACTTGAGAGATTTATAAAGTTGACATCTGGGGGAAAGGGTGTTTAATTAATTATGTATATTTTTCGGGGTGATGACATTCAGAGACATATATATATATATATATTTAAAAAAATTATTTTGGAGGCATAAATTAGGGCAGTTGTGAAGAGGGGTCCGAGTGGTTGGAAGTCTATACCAACATATGCATTTCATTGAATTAGCCTGCTTTGGTGTTTTTAATTAGCCTGCTTTCTAGATTTTAGGCGCCGGCCTCGTCTCTTCATTAATCATCGGCTCAGCCTCAGCTGCATTCTTATCTCATCGGGTCATCCATATTTTTTCTTCCTAATTACTACTCTAATGCAAAATTATATTGCACTTTCACTTAATCCCTCTATTATTACAATCCTTTTTTTTTTCTCCTTGAAAAGGGCTTTAATTAGATTTATTATGATTTAATCATTGATTTCATAATAACATTATCATCATATGATAATAAAAATTATTGTTCAATAAACTCGAACCATAATATTATTAATACAAAAATTTAGGACTAAAGCATGGATATTATTTGACATGATATTCCAAAAATGTTAGCAAAAGAAAATGGAACTAGTAGAGGAATATCTGTACGAGTAAGATAGAGAACTCTTCTTTAGTGTATAGTTGTAGTAGGAAAACATCTGTATTTGTTTGTTACCTTAGAGTCCACAAAAGACAATGTTTGTTCCAATTGTAAGTCATCATTAGAAGCTTTAATAGCATGATTAATAGATTTATAGATGAACTTTTTAATTTGATCAACATCATTCACCTAACAGTTTGCTTCATCTGTAATTCTATGAATAATGTTTTTCCGCCACTCTTAGAAGCCCTAATGACACGAATCAAGTAGATCTTTAAGAGTTCCTCTCAAGCAATCCTCTCTTGGTGGAGTGTGGCTATTTGAATCCTAAATTACTTAGGATTTATGGCAACAAAGTTTTAAGAAGATCGAAACTCTTTATTCTAGAGTCTTTATTGGATTTCTTCTTCATTAATTAATATTTTAAGGAGTTAAAATCATGCTTGACAAAGGAAAGATCAAAGGAAGAGGAGTCTTTATCCTAGCAAAAAATCTTCATTGTTTCTCTCATAGAGAAAAGTTTATTTTTTACTTCAAATTGGAAACTTTTTAAGGCATTTTCAACACAATTTCTTCACCAAAAATTAATTAATTAATGAAGTTCGAATCCAATTAAGACAAGCAGGAAGATTCGGCCATAATAAGGAATCCTATTCAAGAGAGAAGAATTTTATTTCTCTTATAGTTATGAGTTTTTAATTAAAATCCTAGATAAGAATGTATTTAGAATTTTTTGAAATTTAGTTTCTGGTTTTTATTCGGATTACTAAAGTTTATGTCTACATAAAGGTCTTGCTCCTTTAGTTATAAGGACATCAATTCAAATCAATAAAATTATAAGTTCCTTTCTTTTAGATTTCGGTTATTGTAAGTGCTCTTTAAGAGGTTTCTTCACCTATCTTATTGAGTGGAGAATTGATTCCACTTATCGAGATAATCTCGTAATATTTCATCAATTCTTATCACTTTTTCCAATTACTTTAGTTCTTAATCACAGGTTAATTTTGAATTAAGTAGGAATGATTTATTTAAGAATTAAGTTTTTGTACGAAATTGTATGTTGGATGTTTTGACCATTTTGGTTGATCTTAGGTTCTGCATTACCTAACATCAAACAAACTTTTACCTATTCCATCATGCCTTATCCGTTCAACTTTTAATCTTTTAGTCCTCAATTCCACATATTACAAAAATTAAGATATGTTAGAATTTTTAAGTTATGAATCTTCCTAAACTCCTTAATTCCCCCTCTTATTTTTACAACAATAAAGAACCTCACTAGAATCACTCTCATCCAACCATAGTAACTCATATTGACTTTTTTTTAAAAAAAGTTTTTAACTCTCGAATTTTATATTTCTAAAATAGTTCTCCCTCTACATATTGCTAAAAATCTCCTTGAAAACTCTATCAAACCTTCAATAGTGACATCTATGTGATGTGAAGACAATGAAAGAAGTCTTACTCACAATGAATGAGAATCAATTATGCAAAATGCACAAGCCACATATCTTTTCATTTTTCATACCCCTACAATTAACATACACTCTTATTTTTATTTTTATTTACATTTTTATCTTCAATCATCCATCTCTGTATATGTCAATTTATTTCATAAAAGATCAAAAAGGGAATTGAATCTGTACCAATTTTCTTATCATATGAATTAACGTAAATTTCTCCAAGCCCTAGCAATTCCAACAAACTCATGGATTTAGGTGGGGTTATTAATTTGTCAGCCTTTATTAACCTAATAAAACCACACGGAGGGTGAGTCAGGGCCTAAGATCAGACCGAAAGGCGTAGTCGATGGACAACAGGTGAATATTCCTGTACTACCCCTTGTTGGTCCCGAGGAACGAAGGAGGCTAGGTTAGCCGAAAGATGGTTATTGGTTCAAGGACGCAAGGTGCCCCTGCTTTTTCAGGGTAAGAATGGGTAGAGAAAATGCCCCGAGCCAATGTTTGAGTACCAGGCGCTACAGCGCTGAAGTAACCCATGCTATACTCCCAGGAAAAGCTCGAACGACCTTCAACAAAAGGGTACCTGTACCCGAAACCGACACAGGTGGGTAGGCAGAGAATACCTAGGGCGCGAGACAACTCTCTGTAAGGAACTCGGCAAAATAACCCCGTAACTTCGGGAGAAGGGGTGCCTCCTCACAAAGGGGGTCGCAGTGACCAGGCCCGGGCGACTGTTTACCAAAAACACAGGTCTCCGCAAAGTCGTAAGACCATGTATGGGGGCTGACCCCTGCCCATCTAACCCAGAAGACGACGTAGAAGAAGAAATTGAACTCCTCATGCTGGGAGGGAAGAACACCCTAATTGTTTTTTGCATAATCCTTCCGATTAAACAGCATCCACCTTGTAATGACCCCGAAAATCTAAAAAGAAATATATAATAACTTAAGTGCGGAAACGAAATAAAAGGTTAAGCTTTACATTCCTTACACAATAACTTAAAAGTATTATATAATATTACAGAATTAATTCTTTGAAAGAAACACAAGAAATAAAGAAACAAATAGAAAATAAAAAATATCTAGCATCTACTCGTAGTCTTCTTGCTGATCAGGGTCTGAAACCGGTCTTCTTGATCTGAAATGGTTAAATAAAGGATGAGGTATACTAGCCCAGTAAAAAAATTATACTATATCACTGGCATAGAAATAAATATTGGTGTAAAATTGAAAATTACTAATGGAGCATTAAATTTAGTAAATTCATTTATCAATCATAAAATCATTTCTCGTTCATTTACCATAGTGGAATTTATTAAAAAACCTATAAAAATAATAATACTATACAGATCATAACTTCATGAACAATCAGCAACATAAAATATATTATAATTTCATATCTATTAACAATAAACCAAACCATAACTGTTTCTCTTTTCACCAGCATACTAGTATCCATGGGGTTTCATATGGATGTCCCCACTACATGTGAACCATTTCTTTTAACAATATCAATTACAGGGCCGTCCCCTACCCCGTCCGGTATGAGTGCCAAATCATTAAATTTCAATATCACGTCCGGTATGAGGGTGAAACGGGCCGTCCCCATACCCCGTCCAGTATGAACGCTAAATTATTCAATCTCCATACCCGTCCGGTATGAGATAACGTTCACGGTAGGATTCCCTATGTACTCGGTCCATCAACGATCTCTCAAGATATCTAGTAGCTTTAATCACACTACTTTTCAATTTTTCTTTAGTCTCCATTTTCAAATCAAATATAATTACATAAGAAAATAAACATGCATCAGGTAATGCAATCATGTCTCAAATCCTAATCAACAGTAGTCACGTAAGGCAGCAATTCATGCATTCAAACCATAAAATAAATCGATAAGACACTATCATACTTTTAGACTGTAAAATACATCAACAGAGATTAATAAAGAATAATTTTCGATTCGGGCTCCATTAGTAATCAGTAATTAATTATGTATATTTAATAAGATCACACAAAATACTATATTATTATTTATTTAGACTTCAATTCTATGATAGGGAATATGGTGAGGGATCCTTACTCGATTTGATGCCGAAAAGTTAAACAGTTTACTGCACCTATAGCGGTCCCTAGGTTCCCTGAATTTTTTCTCCGGGAACTGAAACGCGCTTATAGTACCTACAAATATTTCAAATAGGTCCACAATTAGTCCCAGGGCCCACTCGGCCAATTTAAAAAATCTGGCATGGCGGAGCAGCCGTGCTTCGGCGACGGTGCCACCGCCCACGGCTGCAGTCCACATCGGATTGGCTGTTTTCGATCGTTTTTGGCCGAATTAAACCATTTTTGTGTCAATCCCTACGAGAAAATACGCTTAGGGGCCTCGGTTGGCTAAAAAAATACAAAAACTCGAAACTCATCAGTTGCGGGGGCTACTCCGGCTCACGTTGTGGTTGGCTGTTTTACTCTGGTTAACCTGTAGAGAAAAGAACAGTGATCCCAACGGTGGAAAAATTACGCCGAACGGGAATCAGGAAGGGCCTCCTTAGAGACATTTTGTGAAATTCCTCGCGGCGACGATGCTGGGCTTCGCAAGTGTTTTTCGGCCAATTGGCCAGTCTTTTCACTCCGATTTGGTCAGAGGTGAGCTTAAGATTGAATTTTATGCAAAAGAAGAAGTTTTTACCTTTTTTGGCAGTCGAAAAGGGTTCCGGTGCCGCTGGGGGTGGCGGCGGTCGGCTCTCTGGTGGCTGGGTCATCTTCTCCGACGAGGGGTTCTGGCGGCTAGAGTGATGGTTTGGTGTGAATAGGGGTTATTTATATTCATCTACTTTTGACCTGTACCGTCTATCGCGTGTTATCTGAACTGTTCGATCGCGATTAAATATGAAGTGAATCTGGGCCATTCATGGCGTTCCAATCTGGGCCGTCCATTGCGATTCACTATGGACTGTACGATCACATTTGAATCTGACT